GAGACATGGGTTTGATCCCTGGTCTAGGAAGATCGCACATGCTGCAGAGCAACTAAGCCTAGGCACTACAGCTACTGAAGCCTGTGCTCCTATAGCCTGTGCTCCGCGACAAGTGAAGTCACCGCAATGAGAAGCAAAGGAGAGCAGAACCCACTTGCCACAACCAGAGAAAGTCCCAGCAATGAAGACCCAGTGCAGCCAAAAAATGGGAACAAATAATTAAAAATGGTGCTGGGGCTTCTCTTGTGGCTCAGTGGTTAAGACTCCACCTGTCAATGCACGAGACGCAGGTTCGATCCCTGTTTGGGGAAGATCCCACTTGCTGCTGGCAAATAAGCCTGCACATCACAACTACTGAGCCTGTGCTCTAGAGCCCAGGAGCGCAACTCCTGAGCCCAAAGTGCCACAATTACTGAAACCTGTGTGCTCTAGAGCTCGTGCTCCGCAGTAAGAGAAACCACGGCAAGAAGAAGCCTGTGCACCACAGCTAGAGAGTAGCCCTTGTTCTCCACAACTAGAGGAAAAACCTGTGCAGCAAGAAAGACCCAGTGCAACCAAAAATAAATAAACAAACTTTTAAAAATTTGGAGTAATTGATCATGGAGATGGCGAAATTAAATCCTTAATCTCATGAAAACTGAAGAAATGTTATTTTACTACAGCCTAAAATCCATCCCAAATGCTTAAGGACCTAAGTGTAGGAAACAAAACTTTAGAAGCTTTAGAAGAAAATGCTGTAGAATGTCTGTATGAAATTGGGAATAGAGCAGAACTTCATAAGCAAAACTCACTCCAGAAGCACAAGTTATTAGGAAAGAAATTTAAATCAGACTACATCCAAGTGAAATTTTTATGTATTAAAAGTCACAACTGATTATAAGACATGTCTAAGACTGGAAGAAAGATTTGTAATGCATATAGTAAATTTAAGTTTGAAAATCAGAATATATAAAGAACTTTGCCGAATAAGTATCCGAGAGTAGAGATGTGGACAAGAGATATGGCAAGATAATTTATGGAACAGGAATCATCAGTGTCTGATATAGATGTTCAACCTCACTGGAAACAAGTTAATATAAATTAAAACTGCAACGAGATGCCAATTCACACCCATGAAGTCGGCAAAAGAATAAAAAGTCTTACAAGGCCAAATGTGGGTGAGGGTGTGGACCATGAGGATCCCTGAAAAATGATTTCTCACTCTGCATTCAGGTGAAAGATGTAGGTGCCTGACAGCTCTGCTGTCCCTCTTCTAGAGAAAGCTCATCCATCAGCTTCAGGTGTCCATAAACATCCACAGCAGATCTATTTGTAAAGCAAACATCGCAAGCCTCATGCATATCCAGTAACAGGAGATGGGATAAATGCACTTTGATGCAATCATATCACACGATATTACACACAAGCAAAGATAACTGAACAAGAGCTATAGGTTAAGCATTTACCAGCACACTGCTGTGTGGAGGTGATGCTTCCAGAATGCTAAGGCCTGTGGTTGGGGGAGGGAGCTGACCTGAGCAGCCCCTGGATAAAAACTAGGACCTCTGTGAGCACCATCTAGGGAGGTGGGTTGGATTGAAAATGAGGAAGAGTTTTCTAACAGGCCCGGCTGCCCAAGGATGGAAGAGACTGTCCCCTAAGGGAATGAGTTCTCCATCATCAGAGGTATGTGAGTTGGACTGGGCAGCTGCTTCGTGGGCCAAGCCTTGGATACAAGAAGTTCAGAGGCAGGGCTGGATACAGATGGCCTCTATGATCCCTCTGCGCGTGCCCAGAGACCCCATGCTTCGGTGAATCAGTGAGCTTGCACAGTGTGGTTATGAGAGGACCGAATGAATAATCAAACTGTGACACATCCCTGGATGGAACTGCTCACTAATGGAAGGGGATGGACCATGGGCATACAACAGCACGGATGGAGCTCAAAAACATGCCGAGGGAAAGAAACTGTGTGCAAGAGGCTGGATACTGTGATTCCATTTATGTGAAACACTAGAAAATGCATGGTAATCTGTAATGATAGAAAGCAGATCAGAGCTTCTGTGCGGGGGGGATGGGGGTGGGGGAATGGATGCACAGGGGTGAGAGGAAACCTTCCACAGGAATGGGAAAGTTCTCTGATGTTTGGCGTCTTGATTGTGGTAGAGATTTCATGCATGTATGTATTGGGTTGGCCAAAAAGTTCATTTGGGTTTTCTGTAAGATGTTATGGAAAAACTTGAATGAACTTTTGGGCCAACCCAGTATCTGTGAAAATGAATGGAACTGAACACTTTAAATGGATTCATTTAATGTATGTAAACTATGTCTCAATATAGACAATTAAAAACAAAAAATAAAAAGTGAAGAGGCCTGGACAGGAGGCCAGTGCTGCTGTATCTTGCTCTTGATCACATGCACAGGAGCTTCAGATGCCCCATCTGTAAAACGAGAATTTGCTTCCAGTGTAATGGTTACAAGTGCATCGAGTCACTGGGCAAATTTATGAACCACTCTGGGCCTCAGTTTTCTCATCTGTAAAGTGGGGGTACAATAGAGACACCACCAGCCAGGTTTAGAGCAGTGGTCACCTCATTGGAGGCCCACAGAGACTGCTACTGCCCTTCTTGCTTTGTGGACACCCGGTGGTGGTCAACCAGGCTGCCTTACTCCCCATTTATTCTCCTGCTATCCCTGCCCTGTACTCACAGTAGGGCCACCTGCAGATTGGGGCCATCCCAAGATGTTCTGTGGTCCTCAGACCTCTGAGTCACTCTCGTTACAGGTTATAGGTTCTTCAGGGGCAGCTTCTCGTCTTCCCTTTTGTATCCACTGCAGTGCCAAGCCCAGAGCTAGGTATTCAAGTGGTATATAATGGATGCTTGCAGAATGAAGGAGGGATTTGGGTGGCCCTAAGTCAGGGAAGATTTTGCTTGTGTTGTCCTGGAGATCGGCTTTCTCAACATGGAGGGCAGGTACAAATTTATGGCCATCATGGCCATGTACAGTTGAATGGATTGTTCACTGCACAAGGAAGTTCCACCCCAGGGGACAAATGGGGGATAAAACACAGGACATATATCTGCTCCAAATCACATGGCTATCTTCATTGGCTGTGTCTTCCCAAAGAGGTGCATTCTTCTTTTTTCTTTTTAAATAAGCATTTTATTTTGGAATAAATTTAGATTTACCGAAAAATTGCAAGGACAGTGAGAGAATTCACCATATCCTTCAACAAGCTTTCCCTTATGTTCACAGCATTTATATAACCAAAGAACTTAACCTTGGTATAATACTATTATTTAATTTCAAATTTGTCTTGGAGTTTACTGCCTTTTCCATTAATACCTTTTTTCCCCCGTTTGTTTCAGGATCCAGTCCAGGATCCCATACTGCACTTAGTACATTGTTTTCATTAGATTAACACAGAGATTACCCTATGGGATCCCAGTGGTGGGAAAAGAATGTGGATTTGAGGGGAGTAGCCAGAACAAAGTCCTTACGTGGCCTGTGAGGAGCCCAGCCTGGGTCGTGGGGGGACCCTTGACCTTCCTGACCCCGGCTGGGCGCCTTTAAGTCTTTGCAGTGTTTCCACTCAGCCCATGCGACAACAAAGTTGGTTGGCGAGTTATAATCATTGGCTGGCCAAGTTTTTTTAGAGCAGGTCCTCAGGGAGGACCTTTCCCTTTCTGTGGAAGCCGTTTTTGGCAACCCTGTAGCTTGCGTGGAAGGTTCAGGAAGGTTCAGCTCCTTGTGTCTGTTGGCGGGAGGGGGGTCGTTGACCCAGCACCTGGCGTTCCATACTCTCTGGCTGGTGTCCTGGTCTGTCCTGAGTGACCAGTGAGCGACTCTGCCCATTGTCTCCCTCCCCTTGTCCCTAGAGCTGGAAGGGTGCTGGGTGTGCGGAGCACTAGCCATCATAGTAACAGCTAGGTGAACTTGGAGTTCCCTGCGGAAAACCAGTGCCACTGGGATCCTGAGTCTCCTGGAGGCCTAGCGGGCTCACTCCCCTGCCCTACCCAGCTGCAGAACTCAAGTTTTGTCCCCCAGACAGCAGCTGGGGTGACAGAGGAGCTTGAAGTCACCTGGCCCTGGGTTTGACTTTGGGTTGGGCAATCTTAGTGAATCAACCGAAGTCTCAGATCTTCAGTTTCAGCATCGTTTAAACGGACCACACCTCCTGAGCCAGGGTGCCTGTCCCCAGGGCTCCCTCCAGCAAAGGGCCTGGCAGGTGTGGCATTATTGGTCACGTCTCTTCTGTTTCCCCTTCTCCATCAGCTGACCCCCACCTCTCTTCCTGCCTCATCATATTTCCCCCATCCTTGCACACTCAGGGGGTTCCACACTGGCGCCTGCTCATGGAATTCTTCCTGTCTTGCCTAGGCAGTCCCCTCTGGAGTGCCCTTTCTCTGACACCAGCTTTAACGTACCTGCTTAAATGCCACCTTGAAGGTCCCAGCTTACCCTCTATGTGACTCTGAGCTCCCCTCCTTACCAATCCTCTGTGCCCCCATTACTTCCTGCTTTGTTTGATGGACACCTGTGATGAACCTGTATCTTCCCGCTCACACCCTGGACTCACCAGTACTAGCTCCTGTGCCTGGCACACAGTAGATGCTCATTAAATGCTTATTGCCTAGAACCGAGGTGAACTCCACTCTTGGAAGACTCAGGTTCTTTGAGAACAGCTCTGGCCCTGCCCGTGGAAGTATGTCTCCAGCCCCGAAGGTCCCCAGATCTCCTGCTGGTGCCTCAGGACAGTGATACCCGCCAGGGCCCAGCCCAGCACCTGAGGGCCACCCCGCCCTCGAGCCGTTCTGCCAGACCGCACGCTCCGCCTTCTGCAAACGGCCGTGGGGGCAGCAGCTTGGGTAAGTTCCCCTTCCGCTTCCTCCTGCCTCCTGTCCCGCTGCTGCTGCTCCCCGCTGAGGACGCCTCCACAGCTCTCCACACGCCGCGCGCCTGCGGAAACGCTCGGGCTCTGAGCTGTCACCACTACCAGCCCCCAGGCCTCAGACACCATGCAGGCCATCAAGTGTGTGGTGGTGGGAGATGGGTAGGTATCTGGCTGGACTTGCTCGCAGCTCCCTCCAGGGGTAGCCCTGGGGCCCTCCCACCCTGGAGTCCCTGGGGAAGCCCCCTGCCTGCAGACGGAGGGGTTCCCTAGGAGGCAGCCAGAAGAACCGCTCCCTTTTTCTCCCAGGGCCCAGAGGGAACCCCAGGGGTGGGCTGCACACAGCTTCACTCTCTCTGCCCCACTCACCCCGGAAACTGCCTGGGTAGAGAGTAAAAGCCTGCGCTTAGGGGTACCTGGGGCCTCTCGCCTGCACCCTGAGAGCTGGGGCTGGTCTCCTATGAGCCTCCGGTCTCCAAATCTGTGGCTGCCGGTGGGGGGTGGGTCCCCAGGCTGGCCTGGGCTCTAGTCCCTGACTTGCTCTGCTGTGTGGCCTTGCGAAAGGCACAGTGCCTCTCTGAACCAAAGCTTGGCCATCTAGGAAGAGGCCCACACCCTCAGGGTTGATGTCGGGTCGCTGGAGCTATTTTGAGTGGTTGTCCTGCACGTATGTGTGCTCCGTAAAGTTCGCCTTCTAAGTCTCAGCCTGCATGACTGGGGAGGTGGTGTGGGGGATGCAGGTGAGGAGCAGAGGGGGAGCGGCGTGAGAGACAGAGGAGGGCAGGAGGAGGGCGGGGTGGGGGTGGCTGTGGGGGTCGGCCCAGGCTGGGACTGAAGGCCCTTCTCAGCGGTGGGCTCTCTGTTACTCCTGCTTGTCATATGCCCTTACAGGCCTCAGTTTCCTCATCTGTAAAATGACAGGTTTGATATCCCATCCCTTGGGCCTGCCAGCAACACTGCCCTCAGGGTCCAACACACAGGCACCGCCTGAGGTTTTCTGTAGGTCCAACCCCAACATATTCCAGCATGTTCTAGCTGGCAGGCCTCTGCTCCAGGCCTCCCATCCTACCGAGGGGCAGCCTGAGGCCTTAAGAGACTCGACTTTCCTGTTCAGGGGAGGGTGGTGGGGAAGGGGCTGGTGTATCACGGGGGTGGGGTGGGGAGAGTGGGGGTGGGGGCTGGTTTATCAGGCAGCCCTTAGCTGATTGTGATACAGGGCTCCTGCCCGTTATCTGCCCGCCTGTCCAGCCCTGCTCACTTCTGCTTTGGATCTGATCTGAGGAGGGGAGGGCGGAAGCCGAGGGCAATGTTCCAGTCACTCAGAGGTACCTTGCTGGCAGGCGGGGGTGGGAGGGGATGGGGAGAGAAGAGGGTGGGCGGCCCTCGTCAGAGCCGGAAGTGACGAAACCAAGGGGGGCAGGGAAAGGCCCAGGGGCTACCTGTGGCCCCCACCCCCTCCCAGCCCAGCAGACTCGGGGCACAGACAGCCCCAGTCATGGCCCTCACTACTAACTTAGTCCTTGCCGTGTGCAGGCCCTGGGCTTCGTCACGCTCCTCTGTTTTATCCTCCCAGCAACCCTCATATTAGGCCCGTCTTACAGGTGGGAAAACTGTAGCTCAAAGAAGTTAAGTCATTTGCTTAAGAGCTCATGGGATCTGAGTCCCCCACATTTGGCGACTGCTATGCTGTGCCAGGACTGTGCTTCAGCCTTTTACCGGCTTCACCTAATTTACCTCTCTGTCCTTCCTGTGATGATGGACTCATCTCATCCCTGTTTTCTGGACGGGGAAGCTACGGGGAGGTTTATGAGGCTTGCCTGAGAGCGCATCCCTGCTGGGTGGGTGATGAAGGATCTGGATCCCAGGGCAGTAATGGCAGAGCCCCGGTCAAGCTTCTGGAGCCTCCCGGGGACCCTCTGCTCTTAAGCCTCTGTTTCACATCAGAGTCACCTGGGAAAGCCTGTTACAAATCCCCAGATCCATACCACACTCGTGATTCAGAATCCAGAAGGACCCAGAAGTCTGTCCTTTAACAGACATCTCAGGTGTAATAACGCTGAAACAGAGATTTTCAGATGGAGACACTGAGGCCCGTGGAGGTGGGGCTTGGGTCTACCCTGAGGGTTGGACTAGGGGACCGTGTGGGTCCTCAGAAAACCTCCCCGGGTCTCGAGCAGGGCCCCTGACTGCTGTCCTCTTGAACTTCCTGTCTTTCAGAGCCGTGGGCAAGACCTGCCTGCTCATCAGCTACACCACCAACGCCTTCCCTGGAGAGTACATCCCCACCGTGTGAGTTCTGCGCTTGGGTGGGACGCTCAGAGACTGGGGAGACACGCATCAATCACCAGGCTCACCCCCCTTTCAGGCACTTCCTGTGTGCCAGGCACTTGGGGATCAGGCTCCAGGCAGTCTCAGGCCGGCAGAGCTGCCTGCTGATCCAGAGGGGGAGGTAGCCTCCTGCGCCAGGATGAGCGCCCTGGGCCCCCAGAGGGGAGGGAGGTGCAGGAGGCAAGCCAGGGAACAGGGGCCTTCAAGCAGGGAGACGTGGAGAGCTGGCCTCAGCAGAGCTGGGTGGAAGGGGACTGGGACAGAGGAGTGGAGTGGGTGCGGGAGGAGGGCCTTGACAGTGGGAGACTGGAGACGTCAGGGCACACGAGTGTGCAGGGGGAGAGGACGGTGCCACCGCAGACCAATCAGGACCCACCCCTGTGTTGGATGTGGAGCAGGGGGATGGCTGTCACCTGACGTGCAGGTATGGAGGAGTATGTGGGGTGAATGGAAGCACCAGCCCCTCTCTCCCTGTTGCTCGGCGGCCCCACCCCTCCCACGACGGCCCCCCAGCTCTGCAGCACAGCACCCAGGGCTCTGCGTGGCCTTCTCCAACCTTCCCTCTGGCTTCACCACCCAGTACTTCGCTTCTTGTTCTGTTTCTGGTCGCCTGGTCACCAACCACACACTGGATGTTTCTACGTCAGGATCTCTGCTCCAGCTGCTTCTTCCGCCTCAAGTGCTTTTCCTTCCTATGCCCGTGTGTCTAAGACCTCCAGGCCAGCTCCAGCATCCCTCCTCCAGAAAGCCTTTCTGACATAGTCTGAAGGGGTCTCTCACTCCCTAGACGGACTTTATCTGATCTTTTCCATGACCAAGAGTCTACAGAAGGCGGGGGGCCATGTCCAGTTCTTTAAGGGTCCTAAGGTCTTACGTGCAGTATAATCTACACATTGTCTTAGAAACAATGTATATATCTTGAGTTGACCTGAACTGAACTTTACAGAGAGGCCCTAGGAGAATGGATCACAGCTACCATCTCTCAAGGGCCTACTGGGTGCCGGTCCCTGGAAATGTCACACATGTGACCTCATTTGATGCTCGTGGGAGGAGTTGGGATTATTTCAGTCCCACAGTGTCCGTGGGGGGAGCTGAGGCTCACAGTAGCTAAGAGATCTGTCCCCCAGGGTCACCAGGTGGGCTAGGATCTCTCTATTTCTCCCTGGCACAAGGGGCCAGGCTCCAGTTGCCTCAGGGACCCCCGCCCAGGCAGGAGGATGGCAGCTAGGAGAAGGCAGAGAAACCTGGGTAGGAAAACTGGGAAAGCAATTTCTAGCCCGGTTCTGTTCCCAACTCCCCATAAGGGCACCAGTGGCCCTCTTTACATCAGCCTGTATCTGCCCACTCACATCCAACACCAAACGTTTATCAGCGCCTCCTGGTGCTGAGGGATGGTGGGCTCTGGACCTGGCAGGGAGGCAGGTGTAACATTAGGCCAACCAGCTCCTGCAGAAGGTTATCGTCACCAGGACGGTCACTGGCACCACCTACTCTCCTGCCTCTGCCTGTCACAGCTGGGCTGAAGGGTCCACTTGCTCAAAGACCTTAGACCAAATGCTTCCCCTTTCTGAGCCTTAGTTTCTCTTTAAGAAATGGAGCGGGGCTGGGAGGTGCCAAGTTCCTTGCCCAGGCACCTTCCCTGTGCAGGGAGATGGGAGGTGAGTTCTCTGACGCGAGGTGGGGGGACCAGCAGAGGCCAAGGAAGGGCCAGGTGCTCTCAGCAACCCCTGGTGGCCCCGAGCAGATTCGGTGGTCCTGGACAGCTTTATAGGACAGACAGGATGGATCAGACAGGGTTTACCTTCCCAGGAGTCAGGAACTGGGTCAGAGATCAGGGCCCGCTCCCAGGCAGGCTCACAGCATCCCACACAGGAGGCTCCTGCACTTCGTGTAATGCTCGGAGGCCCCCATCCCCAAATTCTTAATGTTTGAACAAGGGGCCGTACGTTTTCATTTTGTGTTGGGCCCTGCATGGTATGTAGCCAGACCTGCACCCCACCCTCTTTGTCTTTCTTACGGAGTCACTTGGCTCTGGACAAGCCCCTAGAGGGGCTCCTGCTTCAAAGCCTGCACTTCTGTGACAGAGAGGGGAAAATAAGCCCCCCTGAGCCCTTAACACTGGAGGGTGGGGACAGCTGGGGAGAGTAGAGTTGGGGAAAACAGGCAGCCTGAGATCTCTGGCAGAGAGATAAAGGTCAAGAGGGCTCTGGGGCTCAGCGTGGCAGGGTTTGCTGGGGCCAGAGGCCTGTGCCACCGGAACCAGATCAGATAAGAGAGAGAGCGAGTTCAGCTTGCTGCCTGGGGTTGGGGGATAAGAGCTCGAAGTCAAAGCCACATCTCACAGACAGGGAGACTGAAGCCTGCTCTGTGGATGCTCAGGTGCTGGGCATGGGAGATACAAAGACAAGGTAGAAAGACCCTGCTCTGGGGCATCCGTGACCTGGGGATCTCCCCCTTACCCTCTCCTTATGACCATGTTCAAAGGGAAGCCCAGGTGAGCTTTCAAATGCAAAAATTAGATAGAGGAATACCTTGCTGAAATTGCCCTCTCAAAACCCATTTCCTACCCACTCCATTTTGGTCCTTGGGGACCAGACATGCCAGCCTCCCCTAGGCCTCTGCACCGGCCGCTTCCCATCCCAGGGAACTAACTTTAGTTAGTTCCCTGCTGAAGTAGCCCATCCCTGACCCCTGTCTAAACAATCCCTCCCTCCACCCAGGCCCCCTCCATCCCTCCACACCCTGCTTGATGGTCTCCGTAGCCCATCCTGATCTGACTTCTCCTGCTGGAATGTCAGCACTGTGAAGACAGGGCCCTGGGCCATCTAGTTCCCTAGACTGGCTGCTAGAACAGATTTGAGCACCTTACTGCCTCTCTGTAGTGACTGGACCACCCTGGCAGGCAGAGAGGGCATGCTCTAGTCTGCCCTGAGAAGGTGCTGGAACTCAGCCACCGCCAGGGAGCTCAGCTCTGCAGGGCTTCTCTCTGGGAAGAACACAAGGAGTTAATTTGGGTCAGATGGGTCAGTATTTGGTTTTCACTTTCCTTTGTACACTGGCAATCCAGCCTGGATTCCCATAGACAGGATGGCGCGCAGCCTCCCTAGTGGAGATACTAGGGGTCCTGCCAAGTTTTCCCACCTGGCCTCACAACTCCCCCTTGCCCCACACTCCTGTCACCAGGTGTGTTAATCCCTCCCTGTGTCCAGCTGGCTCAAGCCTCCTCACTGCTCCTACACAGCTTCTGTCCCCTCCCATCCCATCTGGGACACCCATGCCTCCGTGTCTCCTCCAACCACCCGCCTCTCTCACTGGCGCTTCTGTCTTCCAGCTTCCCCTCTGACCCTTCTCCAAGATGTTCCCACCCAGTGACCAAGAGAACCTTTTCCAAATGCAAAGCTGAGCACGTCACCCCTACCTGGTGAAGGCCTTCAGTGGCTCCCTGTTGTCCCGAGGACCGGGCCGCGAATCCTCACAGTGGTCCATGCCTGGCCTGACATATCAGTGCTCCCTGGTCCCCAAATCAGCAGCCATACGTGCTCCATGGTCTTTGTGTTCTATGAGTCCACCTTCCTTCACCTGGAGGCTTGGGTGGTGGTCAAGTGATGCCCAGGGCTGAGAGCCATTTCATCTGTCCCATGCCCCTCCTCCTCTCCATGGTGGAGGGTGGCAGAGCTGGGTGTGCAGCCTAGGGGTGCAGAAAGAGGCCACACAGTTCTGGGTAAAGGTACACCAGACAAGTACCCCTGACCGTGGGCAGGTTACTCCTGGGCTCTGAATCCCAGACACAGTGTAGAATCCACTTCCTGGGTCCACTGAATGATCTAAGTATAAAGGACCTGGGTGCTCAACAAACATGGATTCCCTGCCCTCTGCACAGGCCCGGGTCAGCCCCACGTGCTGTGCTGTGTTAGTCACTCAGTCGTATCCGACTCTTTGCGACTCCGTGGACTATAGCCTGCCAAGCTCCTCTGTCCATGGAATTCTCCAGGCAAAAATACTGGAGTGGGTTGCCATGCTCTCCTCCAGGGGATCTTCCTGACCCAGGGATTGAACCCATGTCTCCTGCACTGCAGGCAGATTCTTTACCATCTGAGCCACCAGGAAAGCCCAAGAATACTGGAGTGGGTAGCCTTTCCCTTCTCCAGGGGATCTTCCCAACCCAGGGGTGGAACCCACATCTCCCACACTGCAGGCAGATTCTTCACCATCTGAGCCACTAGTAAGGCACTGCACCTGAGCTCAAACTTCACTGAGCCTCCAGCCATGAACTCACAGTGATGCTTACACCACAGGCTTTTCTGAACTGGGTAACAGGATCTAGTCCTGGCTCTGCCACCAACTGACTGTGAAATCATGGGCAAGTCCCTTCCTATTTGTGAGCTTCAGTTTCCTCATCTGAAAGATAAGAGTGAGGGTTGGCCACAGTGGTGGCGTAGGTCCCGTTGGTCCTGGCTGCCTGTGGGTCTCTGGAGTGGAGGACTCAGGGGTTGTGGATCACTGTCTCTGCAGGAATCCCTCAGGCTCTGGGGAGGGGCCAGTGAGGGGGGTGTTTCAGGATGAGGTTGCTCCGCTTCTCAGCATCTCCCCATGGGATGGCTTGAAGGTCATCTGTGCCTGGATCCTCTTAGTGGCCCTAAGAGATGGGGCTTTTTTTTTCCATAGTGAAGAAAGTGAGGCTCAGAGAAGCTGGGTTACTCACCCAGGGTCACATAGCCAGGACAAGGCTTCACAAGGAACTTTCTGCTCTCTCCCCACTCTGGGGGGCTGTCCCCAGGCAAATCCACCCTCCCATGGAGCATTAGTCCACTTTCTCTTGCTTACAAATGAGTGCTCAGAAGGAGACCAGATCAAATCCCAGCTCCTGTGCTCCTGAGCGGGCTGGCTTTGGAAAAGTTATTTGACTTCTTGGGGCCTTGATTTCCTCAACTGTCTAAAGGGAATAATTTGAGGTTGTTTTGTCTTGGGTCACATGGGACTTCAAAACCTAAGATATGAAGATCCCTAGCCCTCTGCCTGTCCTGTGACAGGTCCTACAAATCAGCTCTTTCCCCATCACCATGGCCTCTGAGACCCTAGAACTGGTTCAGAGAAGATAGATATCTTTGGCTCAAGGAATCTTGGGGGACTTTTTGGTGTCAGAATTTCAGACTAGAGATTAGAGGAGATAATGTCCCTGTATCCTAAGCTCGCCCCAAAGGAGTGTTTCTGGCCGAAGCCAAAGAAAACACAGAGACTTCTTTTCCCATCGTGCCCTGCGGTGTCTCCCTGAATAGTGCCTTTGGCCTGAAATCCCATGGCAGTTTGGGCGGTACCCAGAGCAGACACAGGGCAACTGTTGCTGTTGTCGTTTAGCCGCTCAGTCGTGTCGGACTCCTTTGTGACCCCGTGGACTATAGCCTGCCAGGCTTCTCTGTCCGTGGGATTTCCCAGGCAAGAATACTGGAATGCATTGCCATTTCCTTCTCCAGGAGATCGTCCCAAACCAGGGACTGAACCTGGGTCTCCTGCATTGGCAGGAGGATTCTTTACCACTGAGCCACTATGTGCCAAATGTGATGCTGGCCTCAGTGCAGTGAGGAGCAAGCCAAGCCTGATGCCTTTGGGTGCTGAGTTCACCACAGACTACTGAGTGGGGGTGGGGTGGGGGCCCTGACCTGACTGGGGCTCAGGGAAGGCTTCCTGGAGGAGGTGACCTTGAGATGGGGCTGGAAAGAGGATGATTAAGAGTCAGCCTGGCACCAGGAAAGAAGAGCAGGAAGCCAGGGGAAGGGCATTTGCAAGAACTTCTCAGACAGGAGGGAGCAGGGCCATCTGAGGAACTGAAGGCTGGACAAGCACAGGGTATTAAATGCATCAAGAGGCCCACTTTTTTGGTGGAGGGTGTCTATCACAAGACAGATGTCTTTGAGTTGCTCTGAAGCACTAGGGCTTCTGCAGCCTGTCACTGAGCAACGTTTTGGGAGGGTTTCATGGAGGAGGTGGCGTCCCAAGTGCTTTGGTTCAGTTTCACTCTGTTCTACCTACAGTCACTAGGCGCCAGTCCTGAGACTTCAGAGATAAAGAGACATGGGCCCTGCCCCCACGGAGCCTACAGCTACATGGCAGGAGAGACACATTAATGCCAGCTCATAGTCTAGGCAAAGCAGTTGCCGGAGGGAGGGGATGACAAACTCTTTCCAGGTGAGGGACAGGGAAGAAGGTGGCTGGGATGTTTCCCCACAGAGGAGGAACTGCCTGGGCAGGGTTTTGAAGCATGAATGGGAGACAGGGTGATGAGGGCACAGAAGAATATTCCCAAGAGAGGCACGTGCAGACAGGAGCACAGGCTGGAGAGTGCGGCAGATCGTGTGGTCTGGGAGGGTGGATACACCTTCAACAAGGAGAGGGTGGGAGGGCATTCCAGGCAGGGGGCACAGTGTGAACAGACTCAAGGAGGCAGGAAGCCTGAGCCTTGCCAGAAACGGAAACGGCTTGGCTGATGTGTGAAGGGAGGAGCAGGGGGAGAAGCCCACTGAGCCAGGGGTCTCAGTGGGCCAGGTCAGGGGACAGGAAGCAGGACCTGTGTGGGTGACCTCGATGCAGAGAGAGAAGGTGGTGGTCCCTCGCCCACAGGGAAGCTGCGGAAGCAGCTGTGGCACCCGGTAGTGAACACTGGACGTGGAATCAGAACCGGCTTCACACTTGGTTGGGTCACTTGCTCACTGGCTGTGTGGCCTAGGGTCAGTCACTCTACCTCTCTGATCCCAGTTTCCTTTTGCACAGCATTAGGGACCAGCTGCTGCCTCTCAGGAATGTGTGTAGTGAGAAATACTATTGAACTGAACCTTAAAAAAGAATCTGGAAGCTCGTGTGACTGTCCCAGAGGCCTCTCTGATGTCGGCAGGAGATTTTAGCATGTGCACATCCTTCACATGTGCCTTTACAGTGTATGCCAATGGCATTTCCTGAAATCTCTGGTGACTGGCAGCTTTTGGGGTGGGCTGGAAGGCCAGTGAATTAATACCCCAGGACATCCCTCTGCCAGTGCAAGATGGAGAAGGCAGATAAATACCCCAGCTCTCTGCCTTCTCAGGGGGATGCCCTGAACTCAGAGCCCCAGCAAGATGGAGTCCCAGTTCTACTTAGCCTGCCAGTAACACCTCAATAGCTTCTGCCCCCTCTCTTGGCTTCTGGGATCACTTCCCAAGTAAACTTTCATCTCAGGGTTTGCTTCTGGGGGGACCCAAACTAAAATGGGAATGAGCATTCATTCAACAAATAATGGGTACCCGCAGGACTTCCCTGGGGGTCCAGTGATAAAGACTTTGCCTTCCAATGCAGGGGGTGTGGGTTCTATCACTGGTTGGGGAACTAAGATCCCACAAGGCTCTAGGCCAAAAAAACCACAGTATAAGACAGAAGCAATACTGTTAACAGATTCAATAAAGACTTTAAACATGGTCCACATAAAAAAATAACTTAAAAAAAATTGGTTGACCAGCTGCAGCGTTCAGCCTCAGAGGTGGGTAAAGTTTATTCTGATTGTGCCTTCGAGAGAATGTTATACAGTCTTGAAAAATCATCTCTTTAAAGGATGTGTGCTGTGTGCTGGGCTTTGTCGCTCAGTCGTGTCCACCTCTTTGTGACCCCGTGGACTGTAGCCCGCCAGGCTCCTCTGTTCATGGGATTCTCCAGGCAAGAATACCAGAGTGGGTGGCCCTGCCCTCCTCCAGGGGATCTTCCCAATCCAGGGATGGAACCCCGTTCTCCTGCATTGCAAGCAGATTCTTTACCAGCTGAACCACGAGGGAAGCCTAAGAATACTGGAGTGGACAGTCTATTCTTTCTCCAGGGGATCTTCCTGACCCAGGAAGGATAGACAGGGCAGAAAAAGAGAGAGACAATGTTTTCTTCTTTATGCTCTCCTGCTTAAATGTATTTTTTTAATATAATGGGTTGGCATTAAAAAATTAAAAATTAACCCCAACTGCAGAGTGCGGTGTGATGTGGGTCCCATCGTAGTCCCTGTCTGGGTGTTGGCCTCTGTCATGGAACCAGGGACTGCAAGTCCCCAGACTCTGGGGCTGGAGACTGACCCTCTGTCTTGCTTGTTGCCACAGGTTTGACAACTATTCAGCCAATGTGATGGTGGACAGCAAGCCCGTGAACCTGGGGCTGTGGGACACGGCCGGACAGGAAGATTACGACCGCCTCCGGCCACTCTCCTACCCGCAGACGGTACACCGCCCGCCCCTCCTCATGGTCCTGGCCTTCACATCCCTGTTTCCTCCGCCTGGAATGCCAGCTCAACCTGGTGAACCCTAACCCTCCCCTTAAGACCCAGCTCAAGGAGCCCCCACCCTCCACCCATCTCTGTCATCACTGTGCCTTCCCCGTCTTCCCGTGGGCTCTGGCTCCACCTGGTGCCCAGTGGGTGCGGCAGGCAGACCCCGGACAGGGATCCAAAGGAAGCTCAGGATGACCAGCCCCCGGGGGGCATGGCGGGGGGAGGGGAGATGGGGCACGCCGGCAGGTGGCTCTGTGGCTTCTCGGCTCTCCCTCCAGGGTGGCAGAGAAAGGGCTGGGACCGGCAAAACGACAGAGGGGTAGTGAGAGCATGGATTCTGGAATCCCAAGTGGCACACCCTTTAATCCTTGTAAACCTCACCTTCCCTGTCTGTAGAATGGGGTAGCAGCAGCATCGCTACAGCGTGATGTGAGGATTGCCCTCTTAGAACAGACTCTGGCCTTTAGGAAGTGTCGGATAAACAAGCAGCAGCCTAATATAGAGAAAGGAAACCCTGCCCTGCCAGATCCTAAAAGCCCAGCATCCCCTGGGCTGCTCCAGCCCTCAGTGGCTGCCCAGGTGTGGAGGGCCCGGGTTGGACGCCTCCAGGCCTCCCCTCACCAGTAACCCTTGCTTGATTCCCCAGGATGTCTTCCTCATCTGCTTCTCCCTTGTCAGCCCAGCCTCCTATGAGAACGTCCGGGCCAAGGTGAGTGGGACGGAGCGGGACCTTAGGGGTTAGGGCAGGCGACCCTGAAGAAGGGAGCATGAAAGGGAGGGACTGGAGACTTTGGCCTGCCCGTGGGCAGCAGAGGATGTGGGCAGAGAGGGTTCCCAGTGCCAACCACGGCTGGTGGGCAGGGATGGGGGGGATCTCGGGTCTCAGAGATGTTTGGGATAGTTAGTTTACTCTCTGACCTTGTCCTCTCTCCTTTCCGCACACCCTCATGCCCCCTTCTTATCTTCTCCCAACCTGGGGCCCCTCGTCTCCCCCGACTCCTTGCATGGCCTCCTGCTCCCGCCCACTGGCCAAGTGGTTCCCCGAGGTGCGGCATCACTGTCCGAGCACACCCATCATCCTGGTGGGCACCAAGCTGGACCTGAGGGACGACAAGGACACCATCGAGAAGCTGAAGGAGAAGAAGCTGGCGCCCATCACCTACCCACAGGGCCTGGCACTGGCCAAGGAAATTGGTAGGGGTTTGGGCTCAGAGAGGGGAACTCTGACACAGCCTCGTGGTGACCGCGAACATAGCCTCCAGGGCCAGACTGTGCATTCCAGCCCTGGCTGTGCCGGATACTAGCTGTGTGACCCAGGACGAATCACTTAGCCTCTCTGTACCTGTGTTTCCTTATCAGTGAAATATGGCAATAGAAGTGGTTCTGAGTGGTTAGGTGAATTCAATGAATTCACACCCATGAAGCCCCTAGAGAAGCACTGTGCATAAGAGGCACTCTATGTTAATCATTATTAGTATTAGTGAAATCCATAAGCAGATACTGACATGACAGACGGAAGCACGGTTGGAGTGGAGGGTGCTGTGGTTTCTCAGAGGACGAGCAGTCAACTCAGGCTTGGGTTTTCCGGGAAGGCTTCCTGGAGGAGTTGTTTCAGCTTGGGTTTGAAGGGTGACGCCTTCCCTTCTGCCTCCTTCTCATGCCCCATTCCCCCCACTCCTGGCTTCTCAGCCCAGCTCCTCTTTGCTTCCCGGTCACTGGGCCAGAGACGTGAAGTGACTTCTCAGGGTCACACAGCTGGTAGGTGGCAGAAGCAGGATTTGAAGACAGGGCCACAAGGCACTGGCATGGGGGCCTCCTCGTGGCAGCCCAGGGCTGTCTGCACCAGCTACGGCTGCTGTGTCTGGCCTCTTCCCTGGTGTCCAGGCCCTGACCTGCCTGCCGCCTGGAGACAGGGCACTTGCCCAAGAGCCTGGGACCACCAGCAGGGTTTGGCCGCTATGAATTGCAATCCAGCTACCCAGGGCTCTCTGTGTCACCACAGGGTCCCACAGACCCAGGGTTTGGCCCCTGAAGTAGTGGGGCCTCCTCCAGCCCCTCCCTCCTCAACCCTAACCCTCTTCCTTCCGCCGGAACTGGGAGGGCTGGGGACTCACATCTCTCCACAGGAAGAGAAACCGCAGCCTCCACCTCCCCTTTCTCATGACTTGCCCAGTGACATGGCCACCTTTCCCAGGGGACCTCTGCTGCTGCGTAAACACTGGGTCCTATGTCCCATCCTGGGGGCTCTGACTCCCAGGCTCTCTGATCCTTCCTCACGGATACTGGGGATTGACCCTGCCTTCTCTTCTTTCTGATCAGCCTGCCCCCAGACTCCTTCCACCCACGACAGTACCTCTGAGCCTGAGACCCTTTCCATTTTAAAGCAGAGGCTTTGGGATAAGATGGGGCCTGGAAACCTGGATTCTGGTACTAGCTCTGGCACTGTTTGTGTGACCTCGGGCCAGGGGCTCCCCTTCTCTGGACCTCAGTTTTTCCATCTGTATAAGTCAGCCTGCACACTCCCTAAAGGTCCTTTCTCTGCCAGAAAGAGATGAATTGGGGGTCCTGCCTTGGCCTCTAGCCAGTTCTTCTTGGAGCTGATCCCAGATGAAAGTGGGGCAGGGCCAGTGACTAATGACTTTGAACTTGCCTCGGACCGGCCCAGGCCAAGGGGGATGCCTGGGGGGCCTTCGGGTCTGATGAGACAGTGGTGGCCTCTGTCCACCAGCCCGGTGTGCTGACTTGTGCTGCAGCTGCCAATTCTGGCTGACATGGACTGAGCACTTCCTGGGTGCTGGGCCTGTGCATTCTCCTGCTTCATCATCATAGCAACTGTGAAGGAGGGACTCTCATCACCCCACTTTATAGAGGATGAAACTGAGGCTTAGGTAGAAGTCAAGAGCTCAAGGTCACCCAGCTGGGATGTGGCAGAGCTAAGACTGGAACTCGGGCTGCATGGCTCCCTCAGTCATGATCAACATGGTCTACTGCCCCCACAGGTGGGAGACCGGGGTGCAGAGCGAGGCCAGGCCCCCCAGTCAGGACTCTTTCTCTAGATACTCCTAGGCAAGAAGTAGGAGGGTGGCAGGTGCCAGGGAGGACACAGTTGGTGGGTGTGGAAGGAAGAAGTGGACATTGGTCACAGTCCCTCACAGTCCCTTGCAAAGAGACAATGGCCAAATGCCCAGGGAGACTCTTCTGGGCTCAGAGAGTTATGTGAGACTCCCAGACCTAAGTCATGGTGTTTTGTGCCTGCCAGCCTTGCCCTGGGACCACTGCCCATGCTCCCTGCTGGGACAATGCTCCCATATGCAAGGGTGATGGGAGAGTCCAGAGTGTGACTTTAGACAAATGACATCCTCTCTGAGCTTAACTTTCCTTGTTCCTGCCCCATCCTTTTTTGCCCCTCCTGAGATCCTGGCTCCCCTCTCCAAGCTGTGTGTCTCTGGACCTGGGGCATCCCCTCTCTGGGCCCGTTTCTTCACCCAGGAAGTGGGGACTCACAGAATTTCTTCACAGGGTTGTCGGAAGCACCCAGCTCAGCGCCTGGCAGGGAGCAGGTGCCGATCAGTGTCAGCCTGCTTCCTTCCTCACAGAGGAGTGGGCTCTAGGGAGGAGGCAAAGTTCCCTGCTCCCGCCCCTCTCTTCCTTTGGTTCCTAAAATTGGCCCCCAGGCTTCTCTCAGGGAGAACTTCTCAATTGCTCACTTCAGGGAGACAGCTTGGGTTGTTGTGGACACAGAAAATCACACAGGTTCCTTCCAGAAGGCCATGGAACACTGCCCCGGAAGTGGGGCTCAGCCTGCCTTCCTCACTGTGCCCTGGGCTCCAGCCCCGAGTGGTCACATGGGAGAAGGACAGTCCCCTCACAGGTGAACAAGGCTCCCCATTTCTTATTCTTCTTGCTGAGAGTTCTCAGCAGCCCCTGGGGGATGGGAAATGTCTAGTGTGTGACTTTGGACTAGCGACTTTTCTGAGCCTCAGCTTTCTCATCTGTGAAATGGGGTGATCTGAAGGACCAGTTCGATGATATTTGGAAGGTCCTGGTGAGCAGGCCATGGGTTCTTCAGGTCTCCCACAGGAAGGTGGAGGCAGGTATGTGGCAATCTTCTGAAAGAAAGTGAAGTGCTGAGAGATTTGGTCACTGTAGCTTGAGCTCTTTTCTTCCCAGGAAGGTATCAAAATTCCTGCCACCTTCTGCAAATTAGGGGCTTATGTGTTTGAGAAAGACACAATTCTGCTGTCGTGGGTCTTAACCTTTCCCCCTGAATAAAGCTCCTCCTTTCAGATATGAGGAAACTGACGCACAAAGGGGTAAATGTGTGAGGGACACAGCCCGGGGGGCCCCCACAGCCTGGTGTGGTTGTATGACTTGGGAGGGGATTTTGCGCAGTCCTGACTTAGGCCTCTGTTCTCTTGCTGCCCTGACCCAGACTCAGTGAAATACTTGGAGTGCTCGGCCCTCACCCAGCGAGGCCTGAAAACTGTCTTTGATGAGGCGATCCGGGCCGTCCTGTGCCCGCAGCCCACACGGCCACAGAAGCGCCCCTGCAGCATCCTCTAGGGGTAAGAGTCCCGCCCCCACGGCTTCGTGACACTCCCTGACCCTTCCCCGACTCCCCACACACAGCAGGCCGTGGCTGGGAGGGAGGCGTTCAGCCACTGCTTGGTAGCCCTAGGTTTTACCAGGAGTGGCATTTAGGCTAGGACAGAAGAGGGACCATTGAAGGGGCCTCAGTTTGCCCATTTGCCTGAGCTGGGCCTGCTCTATGAGCCCAGTTCCCAGAAAGAAGGTTCAAAGTATCAGCAAAAAATGCCAGGTCACAGGAGCCAAGTGTGGCGTCACTGAGCTCCCAATCTGCCATCCCTGCAGGGGGCCGGAGAGGACCAGGGTGAAGAGATACTTCAGCTCCTGTCCCTCAAGAGAGCCCAGTTGAGCCGGGGGGACCCGACACTCACATATGGGATAGAGGCAGGGCAGACTCAGCTCTGAGGCTATTAGGGCAGAAGAGGGATGGGTGGGGGTGGGAGGCACCCACAAGAATAGAGAGGACTTGGCCAACCTTGAGCACAAGCTGGGAGCTGGAGTGAGCCGGGAGCCAGGAGAGCTGGGAGCAGACTGTGGATTCTGCTTGGCCCCAAATTCTCACCCCCCTGTTTGTCTTCCTTCCAGGACGCACCCAGCCTTCCCAGCCAGATGATTCTGCCTCTCCAAGGCCTGCCACCCAACGCCCAGTGGCCCCCGTGGCTGGCCATGCTGTTCCCTTCCTGTGGCGTTTCTTAGCAAGATGCTGCAGAGCTTGGTTGACTGTCTTCTCTGTGCTGAAGGTCCCCCTTGGGGCCCAAAGAGTGTAAATTTGTAGGTGCTGTGCCCCCATCCCCTCATGCTCCAGCCTTCTCAAGGGCCAGAGGGGGGCCCCAGCACCCAATAAGCCACCCCTGCATTTCTGTGGTCAGATGCCACACATGGCGTCATCTACCCATTTATGCCTCCCCTCGCCCCTCAACACCTGAATCCCCTCTAGGAACTTCAGGCCAGATGGTTGCTGGCCACCACTTATATACCTTCAGAGATGGGTCTCTCATTCCCTCCTGGGGCAGTAGTATATACTGCAGTATTGATGGTCTTGCTTATCTGAGAGTTCTCCTACTGAGCTAAATTAAGTGTCTCAGAAAGTTTGTTCCTCTCTGGTCTTAGTCCTCCTTTGGGGACAACATATTACCTTCAGATTTTCTAAGTCTCTGTGAGTACCTGCCCAGTCAATCAAAAACTAGGGTCCTGCTGACTCCTGCCATCTCTCAAGTCTTTCTGCTCCGCTCACAGGACCCTGAGCTGCATTTATCTGTGAGAGTCTTAAAACTTTCAGACCCTGCCAGTCAGGACTTTTGCCATTGCAAATAGAAACCCTGCTTAAGCAGAAAATAAATTTATTGATTCAAGATTGGAACTATCATGACTTCAGGTGCAGCTTGATCAAGGGGGCTCAAATGAAGTCATCAGGGCTCACTTTCCTATACCTTCTGTTGTCTGCTTCATTCTTAGGCACAGTGACTCTCAGGGCTTCACCCTTCCAATTTCAAGTTCGGCAGAAAAATAGCAAGTGTCTTGCCCCGGGCAAAGTTCTGATTAAGGTTTACTCTGATTGGTCCAGCTTAGATCTTGGGCCCCCTTTCAACCAATCACATTTGTCAGGAGAATCCTGTGCTCTGATTGGCCAAACCTAGACTACTTGAAAAGCTAGAGCGTGGAGAGTAGGGTGAAGGTGGGGGGATTTGGTTCTCAAGAAGAGGCAGAGAGCTTTGTCAGAATTTGGGAATATGGGTGTCGAGCAGCCAGAAACCCCAGTCTCCAATATTGGCAGTCCCAGGAAAGTGTCCAAACAGTGTAAGAAACCAATGCAGGACCCAGCAGGCGCTAAGCACAGGCAAGTTTCTTTAAGAGATGGGGCTGCTATCAGGATTAACGAAGCTCATCCCTAAAGCTCCACGGAAGGGTATGGAGCCAATCTCTCCTTAGTGTTTGTTGATTCACGAATGCCGGACTTTGCAATCCTGTGGATGATTGTGCTTCTCTATCTGAGCTTCATCCTTCCATTCAACACAAATTTACAAAGCACCTACTGTGTTCCAGGCACTGTTCTGTGGTCCTGCGATGCACCCGAGTTATTGCCCTCAGGGGCTGTCTAGAGAAGCTAAAATAAAGAATTTTTAAAAAGAGATAGGAAAAAAAAAATAAAAAAAAAATAAAAATAAAAAGAGATAGGAGACCCTGTCCTAACAATCCAGAAGTCTCCCAATTCCCAACCAGTGAAATGCTTTGAATTTCCATTTCCGGCTCCCCCAGGGCTCCTAGCCATTTCTACTGCCCCAAGACCTGAAGTTCTGATGCAAGATCTCAACTCAACTGACCTTACCTCTTGAGAGCCCCACCCTCTAGAAAGGGATGGGGTGTAGGTGGGGAAGCACCATAGCCTTTCTCAGTTTCAGCTCAGACAAGGTTGTTATGTTTTTAAAGTTACCTCTCTTCTGAAACAAACCAAAAAAACCATTAACACGGTTACCTCACCACACCCCCAGCCCACTCGACACAAAAATAGATGTATGTGGGTCAGAACCCACCCTCTAAGATGTCCAACGTTTAAAAGCCCTGAGAAGGCCTTTTCCAGCAGGCCAGAGTCTAGAAGAACCTCTTTCTGTTCCCTGCTTTTCTGGGGCCTCGGGATAAATTCAGGACCATCCTGGTGGCCTCAGGCCTGGCCACACCCTGGCTTCCTCTCTCCTGTGCTCACACCTCCTCTGCTGGGTACCTATTCTACCAAGCCTACCCCAGTGAATACAGTCCTTGTTTTATACCAGTAATAAAGTCAGGAAATAAAAACTCTCACCATTGTGTGGTTTCATGTAGCCCATATGATCTCATTTAATTCTCCTGGCAGCCTCCCAGTGTAGTACTAACAACTCTGTTTTGCAAAGAAGGAAACAGATACATAGGAGTTAGGGCTCAATTCACTAAGGCAGACACTGTACTTTTCAACCCACTATCACTACTTGCATCCCCCTTGCTAACAGAATCCTAGTTGTGTTCAGAGCAGCAATGTATCTAGCCCCAGACAAAAATACTTGTTCCCAGCCTGCTTTGCAGCTGGAGTTCCAAGTTCATACAGTTCCAGCCAATAAGACATAAATGAAAGTAATTGGAGAGGCAGCTTCTGTGAAAGTTTTGGCTTTCCTCCATAAAAAATGATAGGACCAACCAACACTGCCCTGTGTCCTAGCTCCTTCTCTAATAAATTCTGATGAGATGTCTGGAGCTGCAGCAGCCATCTTATGAACCTGAAACCACAAACAGGAAAATACAACCTAACATGCTAAGAATGGAGAAGCAGAAAGATAAAAAAGCCTGGATTCCTCAAAACTTTGGTCAGCAGTTGAACTACTGCCAATGGCTGCCTTGTTAAGGGAACAGAACAAAAATGAAACCACTTATTTGTTTATGCTGCTGTTACTATAGTTTGAGGTCTTAGGACTCCTAGCTCTGTGCTCCTTCCTCTGTATCACTGCGTACAGAACTTGCTGGACATTGGGTGAGTCACTTGTTTCTGCTTTGCAAATTGGCTGAGGACCAGAAGGCCTTCAGATAGGAAAGAGAAACCTTGAGGGAAGTTAGTGAAGAATTTTGAAACAGGAAGAACTGTTAGTTATGGGCAAGAGCTGACAACATGGTGATGTTCACTCATTTGACAGCAGCCACTCCCAAGCACCCTGCTACCGCCAGGCTTGGACTGGGTATCAGGGATTGGCCTCTTGCAATGAAATCATCACCTGATGGGCAGGAAAGCACCTGCCAGATAAGCCTACTTCATTTGGGACTCTCTGTCTTGGAGTCTGGCTTATCCTTGTATCTTCTAAAACAGAGGCCAGGGGTCCCCCTGGCTTTTCCCATTCTGTGCTCCCAGCATTCACTGGTTACGAAGACTGGAAAATTCAGCTTCCCAATATCTGTTAAACCTACCCTGTCATCTGGCCCATCGTCACTTCCTGCTCTAGGCCTTGCAATTATCCTCTAGACAGTAGCTATACCTTCTCACAAGCCTTCCTGTCTGCACTCTCCCTGCCTTGTCTAACCTCCATCAGGCATCTTGGGAGATCATCTTCATTTACAAATGTAATTATGCCACTCAGAATCCTCAATGTAGGGTCACCGTGATCCTAGCAAGTACCTGGCATCTAGTGGATGCTGGATAAGCCTCTGTTGCTTATATAAATGAACAAGCAGACAAAAATATGGACTTTAATGGAGAGAGAGACCCAATCCTTCTAGTGTCCCAGCTGAGCCCAGCCTTCCAGTATCCTCATCAAGGCATCAGTCATGTGTGGGAGCCACCTTGGATGCCTGCCCAGTTGAGTCCCCAGATGACTGCAGGCCCCAGCCAACATCCTGTGGAACAGAAGAGCCAGCCGACTGAGCCCAGCCATCTCACAGGATCATGAAAGATAATATGATGGTATACTGAAACAATGCCTCTTCTGGGCCAAAGTCCCTGATGACTCTTCCTTTGATCTCTTAACTCTCCTCCCTATCCTCTTAATTCCTCCACTGCCCAAGAAATAATCACCACTGGGGCCATTTGACTCCATCTAGGCCTCATGGGATGTGGGAGGTAGGGCAGAGTAGGCTCTGGGGAGTGAAACAGAGATCTAGGATATTTCTAGAAGACTTTGGAAGGCTTTGGGAAAGTGAAGTGATGAGCAGTCATCCATGTAGTCTGAAGTTCAATTCAATTCAGTTCCCATATGCTAACAGTACACTCTGTGCCAAGTGCTGGGAGCTGGAGGGGCAAAGAGGGGTGAGACCCAGCCTCTGCTCCCCAGAGGCTCAGAAGACAGACGTGTAACTCAACACCTGCCACGGGGTTTGATCAACATGCCACAAAAGTGTATTCAACAGAAAAAGGAAGAGACCTTGGTTTCAAGGTGCCAGGTAGAGATGCTTCCGCCCCCTCACCCCTGGCCAAAAAGCAGCCTGACAACAAGGAGAACATGAAACAGAAACACAGAACTCTC